AATACAAGCAGTTCCCTGACTTCACATAGGAGGATCCACACAGGAGAGAAACCATATCAGTGCAAAGACTGTGGAAAGAGTTTCAGTCACAACACTTCCCTCTCTTTTCATAAAAGGATCCACACGAGGGAGAACCCACTTGCCAGCATATAATATGGATGCAGCTTCATCCAGAGTAGTGAACTTTTTGTAAAAGGAGCCACATGGGGGAGAGCCCATATACATGGATGCAACATGGGAAGAACTTAAGTGACTGCATTTCCAATCACAATGTCAAAATGGAAAGGGAGTGAATTATGATTAGAGAAAATGGGTTAGAGTGAAGGAAGGGGAAGAGAAGGGATAAATGGATTGGCCAGATGAAGGAAATTAGAGGAAAGGTTTGGAAGACCTTCAGTTTACTACAAGAGATTTTGTCTGTGTGGTAGATACATTATAGCTGGACTTGATGGCATCTAACTAACCATATCCCTCAAATATAATTCAACCTGCAGGGAGATATTGGGGATACCCAGAATTTTATTAAACCAGATTTTTATTGGGAGACTGGTTTATCCCTGGTTGCATGTCTAACTGTTTCTCTAAGGCCTAAGGTGGATTTCTCTCTTTCCTTCCTTTCTATATCCACTTATCACCTCTTCAGGTCATACACCTCCAGTCTTATTCCTGTCTGCATTCCCTCCTCCCCCATTTCCAGGAAAACTACCCATTCCCCGATTTCTCATATTTTGTTGTTTCTATTGGAAGACAGGGCATTTTTGGGTGTGAGAGATAATGGTTGTTGCATGTAAATAACATTCAATTTGCTTCCTTATTTTAATGGCAATTACATTTTATTAAATTTTATTTACATTATTTTTGTTCTGGGCCTGTCTTTTTGGGAGTGTGACTTTTGACAGTCATATGTATGAACACAGATATGTGAGCCGTCCCCACATTTATTGGGAGGGCAGTAATAACCCATAAGTGGATATGTAATTGGAGACTCTACTTTGGTCAATCACTTAATCCTGGGAGAAAATGCAATGGCTATTAGTTTTCTTGATAAGCCATGAGTTGGCCAAGCCTGCGGATGATATTGAAGTACTCAAGATAATGAAAACAGAAGTGATTGTGAGGAATTTGAGAAGAATCTCTTGAAAGAGAATGAACAATCAACTCAGTGGCCAGCACAGTTCCCTTGAAGAACATTGAAAGTGACATGTACTGGGGCATAAGTTCCTAACTTGACATCCACATTGTTGAGGCCTGAGCTGTACTTAGGCAGGGGAAAGATCTTGTGTGATAATGGAGACCACAGTGAAGCCATTGACTTTATGTGGCAGTTGAGAAAAAGACAAATCCCATGTTAGGTTTCAGTAGGAAAGGAATGGAAATGAAACCATTATTCCCTTCTACAGTCTATTTGCATCTTGAATATTGTGTATAGTTCTGGTCATCCTATTTGAAAAAAGGTATAGAAGTGATGGACAAAGTTCAAATGCAGCCATTAAATGATAGGGGGTTTGGATAGGTTTATTTGTGTTTGGTGCTCTTAAGCAAAAAAAAAAAAAAAAAAAAGAACACCCCTGGGGGAAAAAATTAGGTTCCAGGGATCATCCAGTTAAGCTGATTAGCAGGAGATTTAGAATAGACAAAAGAATGCTTTTTCACACTGCCCATCATTAACTATAACACTGCTAAGAAAACTACATGGATTCAGTCTCCAGGATTTAAGCTCCACACGATAGCATTTCTACCTTTAGTAATGATTTAGATTGTTTGCCTAGTGATTTGTATATATTTGTATATGTTTTTATTATTTTTCATATTGTCAACCATTCAGAGTCACTCATGTGCGATGGGCGGCTATAGAAATCAAATAAATAAATAAAATGAAAAATAAATATATTTACTGATTTCTATGTAGTTGTGTTTTCTTGCATATTAACAAGCATTGATCTTTCTATAAAACTGAATATTATGCATTTCAGTTTGTGCTCAAGTGTTCAAAAACAAACAAAAGCACAGCAGCACAGTGTGATTCCTTACAAGATAGGAAGAAATCCTCTGTACATGCTCAGTTTATATTACTTTCCTTCCAGGATCAGTATGTATGCAGAGGTAGAAGATGGGTAGGGTGCAATTTCAAATAGGATGGGTGGGTGGTGTTAGACAGCTGATGGGCAGGTAGGTAGGTAGGTGGGTGGGTTGGTGGGTAGAAAGGTGAGTAGGTAGGTAGGTAGGTAGGTAGATAGACAGACAGACAGACAGACAGACAGACAGACATATAAAACAGTAGTTTACAAGAACTCACTGGAAGGCTTCACAAGAATCGCTGAAAGTTTCTAAGAGGGCAGGGATCAGCAATATATATCTACCTACCTACCTACCTCATTGGCATGCTGCCACAATAACACCTTTAGCGTGGTCTTCTTTTATATAATCACAAATTGTAGATAGCTGTGTTACTCCCCCAGATCTTTCTGAGAAAACAGTGAGATGTAAATATTAGCAGATATAAAGTCTGGGCCTTCAGAGTTCATTGCCTCAGTGCTCCCTCCCTCTGAGGGAGAAGTCTGTTATGAGAGATCCCCTGAAATACAGAAGCAAATGTCCCTGAGAGACATTTCATTGTTTCATGAGACCCTCTTTTGTGCCAAGGATTCTGGGTTTTCTTAAAGAGGATGGAAGTTCAAGTTAGGAAGGAATATTGACCAGTCAGTCAACTGTAAGACATTATCCTTCTTAGCCCTCAATTCAACATACCCTCTACTAGAGAAGGAGTTGGTTTCTTGAAGTAACTATTTGGGGAGCTGGACCAGGAACAACATAAGAGCATCAGGTTCTTGAGTGAACTATGTACGTAAGTTTCTCCAAGATCCTTGTGAAGGGTTTGTTCTTCAAGGGACATAATCCAAGAGAAAGCAATGGTAAATGGTCCACCATTTTCCTCTCAGGGGGAAGTAGCATGCAGAGGTTGTTCACAAAACATGAGAGCTTTGTGTGTAATGTTCATTTCTTTGATTTGTATTTCATTTCTCTCTTTGGTGAGTACTCAAGTCAAATGAAGAACTCTCAATAACTGGAAATGGGAGAACTAAATTGAGAACTTGTCCCATGCCCACAAAAAACTCTAGCTTTTGGACTCTTCTTCATTCTCCAAGAAATGAGAGGATGACAGCTCATCACCATTGTGGAGGTGTGGCATAACATGTTACAGATAATGAAATGTCCTCACTTGCTAGAATCGGCTGGAAGTGAAACTACCAGAACAGATGTCCATACCTTTAACGGGCACACAGAAACTATTCTCCTGTTTCTTTCTGCCCATGATCACTTGGGCACCGAAAGCACAGGAGACCTAATAATAACTATTCTGGCAGAGGCCTCAATTTTACAGGGGACATTACTGTATTCTAATGGGTTTTGAAGGTGACAGAGCTCCACAAAGTTCCAAATTATTAGAACTCCCCCACTTGTACCTGCTCCTTATCATGTGAACATCAATGGAGAAGAATTTATGCTGTCACTAGTTTAAAAAGTCCATCAGAAGCTTTTGTGCTGCCTTCTGAATAGAGGAGAATGCCACTCCAGGAAAGCTTGCTCCACTGTAGGAAGAAAAAAAGGCATGGAGGTCATCCAAGAATTTGGTGTGTAATGGTATCAATATCTCAATGACATGAAGCCATAGTTGTTTTCTTTGGTTTCCAGGGAAGCCACTCGATTTGAACCTTTAGCTGCATGACAGCTAATAAACTGAAGTGCAGAAGCCTTGATACCAGAACAGGGATTTGGCAGCTTTTAAATGGCATTCTTTTAGGAGACTCCAGCATCCAGCCTCTTTGTAAGGCCTAGAAAGCTACACAGTTGGGCTTGTTAGATCTTTGATGGGAGACCACCATGAAATCTCAGAGCTGCAGGCTAGATTGAGATGTTTAAAAGAAAAACAGTAGCATTTTCCACAGCCAGTTTTGTATGTGTGCCCAGGATGTATTTTGCAAAGTGTCAGAATGCTGTAAATCAGGCTACCAGATCTAGACTACAAAAATCCAAACTACTACTAGATGGCAGCATGTTATTTCTACCACGTTGAAGCCACCCAGTGGTGATCTAAGGTTTTGAAAGCCAGGGGTGGAAGCCCTACTTTAACTCTTGGCACTACTGACTGAGATCCCAGCCAAGAGTCTTGGAGATCCAGGACATCCCTTGGAAGTGCTGGGAACTGTGGGGGAGCCCCCAGAGAAGATGGATGCAACAGACCTATTTGAGAGGAAGCAGGAAAGCACCTTCATGCTACTCAAGTTGAGAGCAGTGGGGAATTCAGAGAAAGGGCCAGAGAGAAGATCCTGGAAGAAACCCTCACTTAGGACGTCTGGTACCAGCATGTCAGGGAGTTCTGCTACTAGGAGGCTCAGGCAACCTGAGGAGTTTGCAGCCACCTCCACCACCTTTGTGCTCAATGGCTGAAGCCAGAAAGACACACGAAGGCTCGGAATTCAGAGAAAGGGCCAGAGAGAAGATCCTGGAAGAAACCCTCACTTAGGACGTCTGGTACCAGCATGTCAGGGAGTTCTGCTACTAGGAGGCTCAGGCAACCTGAGGAGTTTGCAGCCACCTCCACCACCTTTGTGCTCAATGGCTGAAGCCAGAAAGACACACGAAGGCTCAGATGCTAGACCTGGTGGTCCTGGAGCAGTTCATGGCCATCCTGCCCATAGAAATTGAGAGCTGTGTTCAGGAGTGTGGAGCAGAGACCAGAACCCAGGCAATGGCCCTGGCAGAAGGCTTCCTCCTGGGTCAGGCAGAGGACAAAGAAAACAGATGAGAGAATATTTCATCCAGGAAGAAACCTTGTTCTTGATTTTGTGAAATCCCTCTGTACCTGGATTTGTGGAATTCCTAACATTGAGAGATTTCATATTGAGATTCCTCAAAAACGTCCTCCATCCCCATTTATGTAGAGGATGGACTGTTGGTGGTAGATGAGAATGCCACCTTTTCTAGTTGCCAGCTCCAAACTTGCCTTTCTTCCTCACTGGTGTTTGCATGCAGGGAATGTTCATGTATGTGGATGTGCAAGGTCCCAAGGTGAGGAGAGATCCACCAGATCCCTCTCTAGGGACACGCTTTTCAGAGCTGTCCCAGGAGAATCAAACAGAATGACTCACCAAGTAAGGAAGGATTACACAAGTAGCTTCAAACTGGATGAGTTTTTATTCAATACCTTCCCAGATATTATTAACCATTTTTTTAAAAAACTATCCTTCCGTCTCCTTTGTCTCACTCACAGGGGATGATGGTACAGCTTCTGTAGCACTTCTTGCTGTTGTTCAGTCATTAAGTCGTGTCCAACTCTTTGTGACCCCATGAACCATATTGTGCCAGGCCTTCCTGCCCTTCACTGCCTCCCTAGGTTTGCAGAGTTTCATGCTCATTGCTTCAGTAATGCTATCTAACCATCTCATCCTCTGCTGTCCCCCTTCTCCTTTTGCCTTCAATCTTTCCCAGCATCAGGGTCTTTTCCAAAGAGTTCTCTC